TAGCACTGGCCAATAACGGGACACAAATTTGCATTCGAATGGCGGGAACTCTCTTGCACCGGGGTTTTCTGTTGCAACGGAAAACCCTTTGCTTTGCAAGAGGCTCTCATGTGGCGGGAAAATTCCATCGTGCCGAGGCACCAAAATTACTGGGTTGTGACGCAATTAAACAAACATTGGGCTGAATTCTAGTCTGTTACATATGAGCAATTAATGCTGACTTGAAGAAGAGTTGCAAGACTAGTATTGTGGGTATCATAGGATAAACTATCCTCATGTATAGGAATGAAAATAACTTCTACCTTCCTGCATAATCCACAAAGCAGTACACATACTACCATCTTTATTTTTCTTTTTGTTTAGAACAACTATTTTCTCTTGTTTTCTTAAGAAGTACAGATTCTTTTTGTACAACTGGTAATGTCTTCCATAGCCATCTTAATAGCACTTGGTCTTCTGTTTCATAAGAGACATAAAAGAACAAATGGTAATGACAAACTCTGGTGACTATATTTATGCTTTTCTAAAGCACAAAGGGGTTTATTCAATGAACACAAAAAACAGGTTTCCAACCAAAAAATGAAAGGATTTTTTTTAACAGAATGATTGGGACTCACTGCTCCAAAATCCTATTTGTTTTGCAATACTTCTTGGAAGCCCTTTTTAGGACTTTCACATGCTAGGACTTGTGTAAATATATTATATCAGATAATTCCCAAAGGATTTAAACTGTCATTTAGAGCATGACTTTATATCTGGGTGTATTTTTGCTTTACTTTTTTCAGTTCCTTTGTAGGAATAAAGAATAAGGTATGTACTACTAAAGAATAGGTTTTTCTAGGAGTAAATGAGGGTGAGAGCTTAAGTTCTGTATGTCTGTCATAAAGGACAAAAATTAACAAGGGATATAAATCATCATGCTTTATCCAAGGTGGTATATTCTCTGGAAAGTATTTTGCACTAGACTGTTTTAAAAAATCTGTCAAATACTTATCTCTACCATGTCCAGTCAGAGCATGGAGCTAGTCTTTCTAGCAGTCATTAGGCTAATGGCAATCCATCTTTGAGGAGGATTTAGTGATTCTCCTAAACTGTATCAGTTATTTGGGTTTCTTTTATAGCATTCTTATTCACAGGAGGCATTGAAATAATTCACAATTTGGAAGCCAAGACAGCTTTAGAGGTGGTAGGGTGTGAATGGGTACAGTATTTTTCAAGGAAAGTAATAAATATTTCATTATTAAAGAAAAGTGTCATAAAAATTAAGTACAGGTGACCTCCCACACTTAATTGTAACGGGGATCTTCAGTTTGGAAGTTACTTTCATGATTTTAATTCTGAGCTTGCTTTATTTAACAACACAAGATAGGTTATCTGGAAAAACTTATTTTCTAGCTTTATAGTACAAAACAAAATACAACATCTTACAAAACAGTTTGCTCGGCCTACTTTTAGAATCAGGTCAAACTTCTGTTGTTCATACAAAAAACCTTTTTACCTATTATGAATAGCACTTAATGCTTAAAAATATTTAGGTAAAAAATAAACAATGTAAATTTATCCCCTTTTGTTTACTTTTGCTAACTCCTTGATTTGTTATTGCTGTTAGTTTTTATTTACTCTTCAGTAAACGTTACTATTCTGAATAATGGCACATTAATATGCTGAAGCCTACTGAAACTTTTTTTTTATCACTGTCAAACATGGAAAAGTATATCCATGATCTCTGAGCTTGGGGCTTAAAGCTACTTGATAGCATCCTTTTAATGTTTGCAACAAGGCAGATGAAATTACAATTGGAAACTCATGAATGTAAATTGATGCCTTGCTCAGCGGTAGAAGGACACTGTTACTGGTTCCCCTTCAAAGAGAGCTGGCAATATTGCTGAGGAATAAGTGCAGGATTCTTTTATAGGTGTGAACTTTGCATGTAATTCTTTACATGTAGAATGGAGATACAAAACAGTACCATGTCAGACAAACCTGAAGATGAATTAAGTGTAAGTATGTGATTTAAACGCATTCAGTTATATTACTAGATCTGTGTGCTCTGCTAAAGAGTTAAACCTTATTCACAAAGTATGATGATATCTAAGTTCATTGTGATAAAGCTTATTTATTTTACCACTCTGAATGTGACATGCCAGTTTCTTCATGTGTCTTTTGATAAAATGTACTATGTTGCATACTTGCAGAGTTGGAATTGTGCAAGTGTCAATGTAACAGTATGTAAAGCTTAGGTAGGTCATGATGACCTAGGACATTTTCCTGCCAAAAATATATATTTCCAAGTGGGAGAACTCACTATTAAATATAGGTACTTTTCAAATAACTAAGTATGGCTATCTCTCCACTGAAGTCTGTGCATGACAGATAGAATAGGAAGGAATTAAATAATTCATTGTACTGTGACACTTAAATAGCCTTATTAGCCAGAATGGATCTGATGATAGAAAAATTGAATGGAGGCAGGAAAATGCTTCCTTGTTGTTATGAAGGAGAAGAAAAACCTAATCCAGGATGATTAACCTCTTTTTGCTTCTACTGCTATAAAACATTTAAACTAATTTACTGTGATGTTGAAAATAGCTTAGCTTTCAGTGCTCCATTAGCTTAGTGCTTTGGCTAATACACAGAACTTGGTGCATAAAGTGAATTTTTAATAAAACTGTCGTAAATAGCATTGATCTATAAGTGTCTTGTAGGAACGTATTCGCACACTCACTAGCAATGCAAATGCTGAACAGCCATCATGTGTTTCTCAAGTTTGGTGGGTGAGGATATCTACTTCTCCCATTAAATTCTGCTTAAATACAGCCACCCTGATGGGTAGGCACAAAGGAAATTACTAGAAAATTACTTGAATTAATTTTAATAGAAATAAGTCTTGCAAAAATGTTGGTGTAAGCTGAGAGTTGTTTGGGGTTTTTTTTTGCGGGGGGGGGGGGGGGGGGGGGGAAGGGGACAGCTTGATTATTTAAATTGGCCTCACTTTCAGGTGTCAGGTACTAAGCATTCAGTGAGCATCTTTAAACTATCATGTTGGGCACCTTTATAGTGTTCTTGACCATAACCTTCAAACAAATGAGTTTCATTTTCTATTTGTAATCATTATACAGAATTGTACAAATGAGTTTCATTTTCTATTTGTAATCAATATACATAATTATACCCAATTTAAAAAGGCCTTTTAAAAATACTACAGAAAAGACTAAGGTAATCATTTTTCATGAGGTATACAAAATGGGCATTATTAATTCTTTTGAAAATGGCAAAATGACATGAATAGACTTTTAGCTCTTGTTTGGTATCTTGGTTTGGTATTGGAAGATAGCCTGTGTTACAATTTTACTACTTCCCTAGCCAAATACAGTTGACTCTATCCTAATAAGATGCTTAGACCTGTCAGGGAATTGTAACAGTCAAATATGTGGTAGAGTTGGAGTGATGTTACAGCTGTGATGGTCCAGGAAATATGCAAGAGGTCAGGATTTTTGTATACCCAATCTTTTACTGGACCAACTGAATGGTTAGGATAGACTTAGACCAGCTTTTGAATGCAGCACATTCTTTATTCTTTTTAAGCAGACCTGAAGAGCATGCTGCATCCAAAGCTTGTCCAAATCTATTGCAGCCATGCAGTTGGTTCAAGAAAAAGTATCACCCACAAAAATCCTTGCCAGCAGTCAAATATGATGATCAATCTTACAGGATATTGTTCTACTTCAATTTCTTCCTTAAGGACTGATCCTAAGAATACTTGTATGAATGGGTAATATCACTTAGCAACGTATGTAAAAGAAATGATTGTTAAACTTGGCTTTGAATTGGTGGTAGGCTACATATTGACTTGCACAGTGTTATAACCTGTGTTGAACCAAAAATCTACTTTGCTAATATAAATAATATGAAATCATTTGTTTGATTTAGGACTTGAGACCCTCTGGGTTAAAATATGGTGGGGAATGTGGTGAAGGGGATATAACAGTAGGAGCCTACTACAGACCTAATCAGGAGCAAGAGTTTGACCACAAATTCACAGGGGAACTGCATGCTCTCTGTGCATGGTTGTCATGGGTGACTTCAACTACCGTGAAATCTCATGGGAAGAGCACTCAGCCAAATCCAATCAGTCACAAAGCTTCCTCACACACATTGATGAGCTTTACTTGTCTCAAGAAGTCTACAGGTTGACAAGAGGTAAGGTGCTGCTGGACCTGGTACTGGTCAAAGGGGATGATCTAGTGACCGACCTGAAAATTGAATGGAAGCTGGGAGACAGTGACCATGAATTGATCACTTTTTCTATCTATCACAAAGCTGGCAAATGCAGAAATCAGTCAGCAATGCAGAAATCCTCAACTTTAGGAAAGTCGACTTTCACAAGTTCAGGAAGCTAGTTGTCAAGGCCCTGAGATGCCATGATGACAAGGAGGGGAGTCCATGATGAGTGGTCACTCCTTTAGGATGTAATCCTTGAAGCACAAGGGAACAAGGGAAGTCCATTCCAGCCCATACGAGAGGTAGCAAAAGGGTGAGGCGACCCCCTTGGTTCAATAGGGAACTCATGGACCTCCTGTACCTAAAGAGAAGCTTATAAAGGGTGGAAGTCAGGTAACACCACTAAGGAGGAGTATTCAGCATTGGCCCAAACCTGTAGGGAGCGAACTAGGAAAGCCACGGCTGAAACCAAATTCAAACTGGCTACAGGAATCAAGGACAATAAGTCCTTCTTCAGACATGTGGAAAGTCAGAAAAAAACCCCAAGGGCAACATTGGGCCCTTGCTAAACCAAATGGGGAAGCTGATAACTAACACCTGGGAAAAAGCCAATCTCCTTAGCAATTACTTTGCATCGGTCTTCCACTAGCTCAAGGGGATCACCCTGCCTGACAAGATGCAGGATTATCAGGGGAAGGATGAACATATGCCCATCATTGGCATAGATCTTGTGATGAAACACCTTGAGAGGTTGGACATATACAAATCAGCTGGCCCAGATGGAACGCACCCAAGGAAAGGAACTGGCTGACATAGCATGGCCAATAGTGAGGATATTCAAGAACTTGTGGCACTCAGGCGAGGTACGTGAAGATTAGAAGAGGGACAATATGGTGTCTATCTTCAAGAAAGAAGGGAAGGAAGATCCAGGGAACTACACGCCAATCAGTTTGACCTCAACCCTGGAAAGGTCTTGGAAAAAATCATCAAAGAAACCATTAACAACTGTCTAACAGAAGGCAACACTCTGGTAGATAGCCAACATGGCTTCACTGCAGGTAGATTTTGCCTGAACAATCTCATTTCCTTCTATGACCAGGTGACACTTAACCTGGACAAAGGAGAATAGACTGATATCATATCTTTGGATTGCAAAAAGGCCTTTGGCCTGGTGTGCCATGATGTCCTCATGGAAAAATTGCGGAGCTGCCACCTCGACAACTTTACGGTCCATTGGCTGGGGAACTGGCTCTGTGGTTGGGCCCAGAGAGTGATAATTGATGGAACTGAATCAACATGGCATTTGGTGACCACTGGCATCCCCCAGGGCTCCATTCTCAGACCTGTACTCTTTAATGTATTTATAAATGATCTGGACTCTGGTGTCAGAAGCGAACTGGCTAAGTTTGCTGACAACACCAAACTATGGGGAAGTGTTCTTGCCCTAGAGGATAGGCTGGCAATCCAAGTCGACCTCGACAGGCTTGCAAGGTGGGTGGATCAAAACGTGATGGCATTCAACACTAAGAAATGCAAGGTGCTCCACCTTGGGAGAAAAAACCCGCATCACACTTATAGACTGAAAGAGACTTGGGGGTCATGATTGACCACAAGATGAACATGAGCCACCAATGCAATGCTGCAGCTGGCAAAGCAAACAAAACTCTAGCTTGCATCTACTGATGCATGTCAAGGAAGACCCAGGAAGTTGTCCTCTTGCTTTACTTGGCCTTGATGAGGCTGCAGCTGGAAATACTGATTCCAGTTCTGGGCTCCATAACTCAGAAAGGAGAAGCTTGAAAGAGTCCAGAGGAGAGCCACATGCATGATTAGAGGATAAGAGAGCAGGCCTTGTGAGAAGAGGCTAAGAGCCATGGGACTCTTCAGCCTGGAAAAGCCTAGGCTCAGGGGTGACTTGGTGACAGCCTATAAGTACATAAGGGGTGGCATCAGGATATGGGAGAACATCTGTTCACCAGGGCACCCCAAGGAAAAGCAGCAGTTTTGGAGACACTGTGTTTACTATGCAGCTGCCAAGATGGCAAAGTCCAGTGTCAACACTCTTGCAGCCATTGCTGTTGGCTGGGCACAAGGTTTTGCCTGCCAGTAAATGATCTGTTGGTAGTATCTTGATCAGACGCATGATGTGGGAACAACACTTACTTTACAGGAATGTTATATAAAGAACTATGTACAGTAAAGAATTAATAGTCTTGTTACTGGCCTCACAAGGCTCTGGAGTCTGCCTACATGTGACGCTATGTCAACATAGCACTGCACTACAGCGATGTAGCATCCACGAGTGTCTACATGCAACCCACAGCTACTTCACCATAGTGACACACTCCCCTGGTACAGTATATTCTGGAAGTGCTAAATCATGGTGCAGTAACAACATTGCTATAGCGACACATGGAGACACACCCAGAGTGTCCAGATAGTATATAGGAGAAGGTCTGGATGAGGCAGCTG